GCATGATTTATTCTTTCAAAACCCCGAAAACTTGGATATTATCTCTACTTAATTATAATTGCACTGTGATTAAACTTTATGTGACATTATAAGACTGAAATCTGCCTTTGAATGCATTTAATTAGGAAAAAATGCACCTATTATTGGTTACACAAAGAAGAGTTTACGAATATAAATCATCTACAGCATAGAACTCTGCTGTGCCAGCCTTGAGTCTTGGTTAAGTTCCTATAAAGGAGCGCGCTGTCAAAGCAAGCCCTGCAGTCAGGAACTTGTCAGTAGAAGCCCACTACTGGGCCTTCTCCCTCCACACTACCACCTTTTATAAGACTCTTTTTCTGAAGCTTCACATTCATTTTTTTTTTAAGGTTTTTAACCCAATGTCTGTGAAATTTTTATTGCTCCCCAGATGATGACATCTGATCTGAATGTAACTACACACCTCTTTGCTCAGCAGTATTTGTCACAAACCATTATAAATTATCATGGTGATAGTTTGCATTGCTGGGAAACCGGAAAAGTTCCATAAATTCTAACTACTGTATCAATGACATTCTTGTTTATTATACAGATATAAAGTTTTATGTGTTTCGAGATGTCTGCTTTACCACTGAAAGAAACTTTAGGGTAGTAAGAACCAACTAACTCAGTGTCAATACTGGAAAACATTTACAATGCCCAGAGTACCTGAAAAATATTCAGCAGGTCACTTTTTTCTTTCTCTTCTACTATTAATTGGGTTTTTGCACTTCCCCAACACATGGGATTTGCTGGTGTTAAGAAGAAAAATCATCATTCCTTCCATACCCTCAACACCATCATCTCCTCTCAGAACACTCTCTAGTCTCCTCTCCCATATCGTATAACAATAAAAACACGGCAGTATATCTGGCTAGAAATCTTAGCCCAGGGTTAGCCCTGAAGACACATGCTCTACTGTTCCATTGAGTGATTATTAATTGATACCATCCTTTATTCAACAAAACAATTGAGGGAGTTATTGTATTGTGTTTTTGATGCCAACTTGTAACGAATCCTGACTCAGTGATGGTATAAACATAACCTGATTCATTTTAAAACTATCGGCACAATGCACATATTTATTTCCCCTAAGGAAATACCCTCCCCTTTGATATCAGCTGTGAAACACATTTTGTAAACTATGGTCCTTGGTTTACTTATGAACTAAGTTAACCTGGGTGCCACTCACATGAAAAAACGTGAATGTATACATTTTAGTGTATTGTTGAAGTTACTTTTTTTTTTTAACCTATTTATAAGTAAAATAATAAAAGTTAAAATAGAAAATATTTTTCTTACCAGAACTATTTGACTGGTCTATTTACTCACTTGTTCATCCCTACCGCCTACAGAAGAAAATGGCTTATGTGGACCTGGAAGATGCTTCTCAATGAGTAAATGTACTAAAAATTGATTTCTTGAGCTTTCACATGATGAAATTTGACTATACATAGTGAAACTGTCAGTTGAATACTGACAATTGCAAGAGAAAATGCCTGGTGCATTATATGTGGATCATCCCATTACCAGATCAATATCCTTAGCTTGACATACATCTAGTTTCTTATTTCCAAATGTTCTACCAATGACTAAACTGTTAAAGAAATCCTAGTAATATAATAACAACTTATTTTGAGGAGAGCTTTCAACTTTTTAAAGGATTTTCATATCCACTATCTCATTTTATCCTAATAGTAACTCTATGGCATAGGTAGGACAAGTATTTTTCCCTGTCACTAGGCAGAAAATACAACTGAATAGTGAACAGTATTAAATATCTTAAGACCAATAGCTTGTTCCTAACAGTGATAACTAAAAGGTTACCAGCTGTCTAGTTTTATGGCACCTCAAATTTACTTTTGGAAGTAGCCTAACATAAATTACAAAAACAAAACAAAACACAACACTAGTTTTTGGGGGCCACTAATATAGACATTTGAAGTCTAGGAATCTGGTTTTCAAAGAGTTTCTGGTGTTTTCCATTCCTCTAGGGAGTTCTCACCACCTTCAGATTTAAAGTCATGGATTCCGCTCACAACCTTAACAAAAGGAGGTAAGAATGGGGTCGCATTTGTAGAGTGTCAATGACAACTTTCAGTAATGACCAGGAGTATTTTTACATATGGCCCACTTGGAAAGACAGCTAAGGCAGTGTCTTATGTTGGTCTTCCTATATCTTTTTGGAATGCTTCATTGATAAAATGAATTATTATATATAATAATAATTGTTATATAGTGAATTTTCAAAATATGGCACAAAGACATTTTCTACTGGCATAATCTCCATTGATTCCATTAGGCTAAATATATCAACCTTTCAAAGCTGGGCAGGAGATGTCAACTTGACAGAGAACAAACCCTGAGTTGCCTACAACTAAGAAATTGCCTTAGTAGCATTATCAAAGAAAATAATCTCATGATCATGATCATAACTATAAAAACAATCTTCTTGGGCATATCAGTTCATTGAAAAGCTTGTTGATATCACTGAAACTGCCTCTTCATGTAGATTATAATTCTCTCTTTCTTTCCTGAGAAACTTAAGAACAAAATCCAACTAAGGAAAACTGCTCTCCCAGTCCTATCATATCCTACCTCATACCAGTCTATGGCAAATAATGACTGCATTTAGCATTTACTGTGTTCCAGACACCGTTGTAAATGCTTTACATATACTAACTCTTTCAATTGTTTTTCCCTTCTTAAACTCCTGTGCTCGTAAGACCCAACTGTGCACATTTCTTCTCTACTCCATGCACAGTGACATCACCTTGGTATTTGAAATTGGCCATAGTGGGAGCATTGACACCATGGAAATCAACAAATTTACACATCAGGATTTTACCTTCTTCCCAAGAGAACCAATTGTTAAATATTTACCAGCACACCACTGCCTACTACTAGTGCCTACTCTAAATTCTTTAACTATTATATTACATGTGGACATGGTAATGATTTACTGATCAGGAGTTAGTAAACATGACTTTATTGAAATCTAATAACACCTTATATTTTAGAACAATATAATCACATAAAAATATCTCCTAGCAGTTTAGGCATTCTCAAAAAGTAAAATAAAATAAAGCAGTGGAGAACAGTTCTCCAGGTTGTCTAGGTGACTGACATTGTAAAAACCACTATATAGAGCACTGAGGGGGGAAAAAAAAGTGCAGTGAATTCCGTTTCCAACAATTACTAGAATACTGTATTAATGGCAACTTCCACATGAGATTAAAAAGTCAATATAATGCCCTCAAGCACTTCTGAATCACAGAACAAAAACTAAATTGGAATCAGCCCAATAATACTGCATTGTAGTATATACTGATTATTTGGAAATTGATCATCAGTAAGGAGCCCTAGTGGCACAATGGTTAAGCGCTTGGTTGCTAACTGAAAGATGAGCATTTCAAACCCACCTGCAGCTTCAGGGCAGAAAGATGTGGCAGTCTGCTTCTGTAAAGATCACAGCCTTGGCAACCCTATGGCACAGTTCTACTCTGTTCTGTAGAGTCAATATGAATCGGAATCGACTTGATGGCAAGGAGTTTTAGTTTTTTATAAGGAGTTATGCTAGTTCTTTAGGAACCAGAATGTTGAATTAACCAGAGGACTTCATTTTCCTGAAAATTTTCCACATTCTCCATGAAAATCTAGTTTACCCCACCAACTCAACAGGTTGCTGAATACTTCCTACAGGTGGGAACAGTAGCATATTATTCTGTTCTCCCTTAAAAGAGATATTCTCTTTGTATGCAAAAAGAATATTTTTTATAATGAGCATACCTACATAATAATGTTTATATACCCAACAGAAGTAGTGGCCTATATACATTTTACATAAGTATATCAAATCTACCCATTTTAAAACTCAGGAAAACTCATCATTCCCTGAGAAACACTATAAAATTGACATTTAAATAGATTATTTTCCTTTAATAAAAAAGATTAATATTCAGGTCCAGCTCTCTGGATATTGTACCATGTACAGTCTAACAGAGTGGGATGATAAGGAAAAGATGGAGACAGGTGGTGTGCTTAGTGTCCAAGAGACAGGAGCAAACATGGTGGGAATTGTTACATTTAAAGTTAAAACATACTTTTTATAGTAGTGCAAAGTTCTTTGATATGATGTGAGGAACTATAATTTAGACTGTCACTATACCCTATGGATCGTAACGGTCTGATCCCATTGTACGTGGGATCACCATGACTCAGGGGCCAACTCTATGGCAGCTATAACAATAGTAAGAATGTCTTCATGATAATGAAATGTGGCGTAATTTGATAATTAGCAATTTAGCAATAGAAGGGGATAGGCTAACTAAAGCAGATGGATAAAACTGATTCATATTTGAGTTGACATCATATTCATTTGTGCATTGCTAGTTTATAGAATTTTTCATAGAATTCTTGCAATCATTAACTACTGTTGGTAAAAAAAAGCTTCATCTGATTCACCCCTATATGCCTTACTTTTATTCAGTAACAATATGTGTTTTTCATGTAAAACTCATTAAGAACAGCTCTTACATCATGAAATATACCACAAATTTGCTTAAAAAAAAAAAAAATCAACCTCCCTGTCTGTGGATATAATGTGTTAGTGACCCACAATATTTAATAGAAAAAAAAAATTCAAGCAAGAGTTTGGGTTTCTAGTTCTTCACTTTCCCAGAAAAAAAAAAGAAAAAGAAACATGTATATATTTCTTAACGAAAGTGTTCCCAGACCAAAAGTGTTAACAGGAAAAGGAGTATGAAAGATTACACATTTAAATAGAATATTCCTAGTTTGGAGAACTCAGAAATCACTTAACATAATTTAATTTCCATACCATTGACATATGATCTGGCCTAGATTGGAATCCCTCCTGGATCCATTTATACCCCACATTGTACACATAGCCTTTTCCCCCATAGACATTTATGACCACTAGATGGTGCTGTGGTGCCCCGTTCAAATACTTTCTCACTCACTTGCAGTCTCTGTCCTCCAAATCGAAGTGTGGGTTGAAGTTGATCATAATTCTCTGGCCTGGGTTCGGAGCTTGAATCAGCCATTCACATTTTTCACTTGGGTGGTATGAATGAGGATAACCAGGAGATGTAAGATACCCAGGGTTTTCAATTTTTATAGTGTCACCACATTTATCTGCAATAAAAATAACATTTTAGCTGACCTTTCCCTTACACTCAATTGTGTCTTTTATATATATATATATATATATATTTGTGTGTGTGTATATATATATACACACATACACACACACATATATGTATGTATATGTATATATACATATACATATATATGTGTGTGTGTGTGTGTGTGTGTGTGTGTGTATATATATAGCCAGATAGTAAACATTCCATAACTTTTTTAAAGGGAACTCCAAGAGGTCTCCACAGTCCTTAAAGTGATACTGACAGCAACACTCTACCAAGGCCCAATCTTTGATCTTTGAGCATTTGCACAGGAAGTCTGACCAACAGAGATCTGAGAGGACACCCTACCTCCTCTCCACCCCCAAAAGTTCCTTCCCAAGAAAAAGGTCTTCTAGCATTAAAAACATTAAATCCCCCCAATTGATGTTAACATGGCCCCCAGGGGGCTTCTGCTAGACTTAATTATCCCCCAAGAAGTGTAATCGCATTAAGTAGCAAGTTCTAAGTAGAAGGTGACTAAAAGATGCTGTTTGACCCCTTGTGTGGCTTTTTGATGATAAGCCTGGTCTGTGTCATTGATCAGTGGGGATTGTCTTCCCAGACCTCGATTGGCTTAAAGCCAACCCTTTTTGTTGTTGTTTTATCTGCCCATAAATCTAAGTGATTCTTAGTTATCTCTGTCCTTGGGATCCAGATCAACAGAGAACAAAGTATATTTGGTGAAGCAGAAATAATTCTGCTTTACTTCTCTTAGTAAAGTTGCTCAGGCTTGGAGATCAGATCAAAGCAATGGGGAAGAAAGAAAAATAAATAGCCACACAGCATTCATTCTAATTACCTAAATGTTGGGGAGAAAATCCCCACAGTGAGGTCTGGGTATCACATATGGTGAGTCACATTCTCACATTCTGGAAAAGGTGGGTTAACTAGTTTTGAGCCTTCATTTCAAAAAAACCCAAATGCTGCAGTGATTCACTGAGAGCCAGCCAAAGAGACCAGTTGCTGGGGCTGGTTTATTGTTCTGAGTAGATTCTCATTGTCATTTTTTATGATGGATTTCATACTGGAGAGTCTCAGCTTGAAATGATGCCACATTATTGATGCTTAATTTTGAGCAGTAAAAATTTGGTGCATAAACTATGTAAGAGGAACAGGTATGAAAGCAGTGAAATACATAAGCCTATCAATCACCAATTTTCAGTAATGGTGTATATATAGATTTTAATATTGCATCTAATAGATTCCCTGTGGAAAGAGAATGGCATTCTTTGCTCTCAGCATGAATTTATAAATCTACAGAATTTTATTGCAGGAAAACCAGGTCAAATGGAAATGAAAGATGAAGTGTACATCAAAAATGCATAGAGCTACATGCATTACAGAAATCAGTTCCCATAAATTAAAAAGAAGACAATATAAATTATATTGTTTTTTTTCTCAATTGCTGGGTACTTCTGTATTTCTTAGACTAGAGGGGTAGTCTTACACTGGTTTCATTTGCCAGGGCTTTTGAAAGTGTTAAGATTTGCCAAGAAGAAATAGTGTTGCAACTAGAGCTCAGAATCTCAGCTAATGATCATATTGGACTCTGGTCTGTGATTCTGTGGAGACTCTTGGATGATTTTAAATATGCCAAAAACTTGGAAAGTGACCCTGTCTCATTAAGTCTCCTCCAGCTCTGTACAAACATCATGGCAGAGTCTGGCATCTGTTTGAGGAGTGAAATAAAACAGCACTGCTTCCAGTCACTCGACAGAGTCACTTCAGAAGACATTTAGGTGGACTCAGTACCACACCAGAGCTCTTTAATCTGTGACTTCTAAGAAAGTGACAGTGTAATAAGATAATGTGGACTGCTAGACTCCCTGACTCTGTTAAATCTCTCTAACAGTTGATTAAGAAAGAGCAATTTCTAATGACTCTGGACCATTAGTCCTAAATAAGGTTAATGAATTAATTTAGCAGACACTGGTACTCAGAGAAGGTGGACATGGCTTTAAGAAGGCTGCTGACTTACAGAGACATTGACTGGCTCTGGTCACTCCAATCAAAGCAACGTGGCTGTAACTAGTAGAACTCACTTATTGAAGCTCAGGTTTCCAGCATTCCCTACATACCTGTTAAGCAAGATATCATGTGTGTACACACACACACACACACACGTGTATTCATGAAATGTACCATCTAAAGTCTGAGAGCTTTTTATATTAGCTTTCAAATCCACCCTGTGAATCCTCCCCTACTTGTTTAATCTCAGGAGTTGTAGAGGGCAGAGAGTGGGTTAATGTAATTTCTAGAGCCTAACCATTTGTGTCCTTTCAATTGGAGGATAAAATTATTTCATTTCCTGCCAGATTATACAAAGATGACACCAACTCAGGTTCATTAATAAATTGAACTCCACATTCACAATTTTCCTCTGAGTGTGTTTTACTTCCAAGCATATCTTCTGCAACATTACTTGGTAGCTCTGTTGGGGAAATCTACTGCTTAAATCACAAAACCTCTAGAAAACGTATTAAAGAGATTAACTTCCATCATAAAGATGTGATTTAAATTCTTCTTGGTATGAACTCCTCCACTTGAAGTCTCTTATTAAAACAATATACCACAGAAAGTAGTAGTGGATGCTCTCTTCTAATTACTTTGATTGAAGTCTAAGTCAGACAAAAGTAAATATTTGGTAATTAGCTAATAATCATTGCTGAAGACTTACTGTAAAGATAATTTCATACCTTGCCTTCACTTTTCAGGGGAAGGAAAACATGCCGACAATCAGAACACGTTTTAAAACACATTATTTATGTTACATTGTACTGTTTATACCCCAGCACAGTCTTTCATTTACTTAACAGTGAGTAGTTTGAAAAGCAAAGTGGAAGCTGCCACTAGGTCAGGGATTTCCAGATATCCTGGTGACTTACACTGTACATATCAGATTCCTTTATTGACACTACGCAACTTTCATTCAAACTCCAGACGGATTACGGACGATTTACAAAGGCAAGGGCGGGGGTTCCATCAACCAACAAACCGCTATCTTTTGCAGGCACCCACTCGCCAGAGGAAATAGTTGGAGGAGCTGCAAGAGAACCAGGAAGTTCTCCTGGTAAACTGTTCATTAACTTTTAACTGCCATCAGATTTTTGAAAGGGAGGCTCATCTAATTGCCTTTGGGAGGAAACATTATTAAGATAATTGGTGTGCTGATCTGGGAAGGTAGGCAGTTCTGTCTTAGGATAGATATAGGAAAACCCCTACTACCAAACAGCCAACTTCAGGGTGGGGAGCCAGAGACTTGAAACAATCCTGCTATAAACCGATTGCTTTGATTTCCTGATTTCTGCGCCCGGATAAAACTTTCCTTCGCCCGGGCGGAGGCCTCTTCCCAGTTCATTCTTAGTAGCTCTGCATGAGTCCGGTTGCTGGGGTTGGAGGCAGAGCCCGGCTGGACGCCCGCAGCCAGGGTGCTCCGGGGCACGGCGCTGTCAGACGCGCCTCTGCCTGTCACTTACCATTGCGAAAAGCGCTGGCCAGGGTAAGGGCGAGGGTGAGTGCTGTGCAGAGGAGCGGCAGTCCCCTCTCCATTCTCCCTTCTCCGAATCCCCAGGCAGATGCGGGAGAATGAGTTCTTGGAGGGAAAATACAGCAAAGGGAGTAATCTAAAAAAAAAAAAAAAAAATCCAAAGCGCTCCAATTGGGTTCAGAGCTGTACAATAATCCTCCAGCCCGTCTTGGAGAAAGGGAAGCAGCGAGGCAATGCCTTGATCCGAGAGAAACGCTTCTCTTTTTGTGTCTCAAGTCGCCTGCATCCTGTCATTTAGCTCCGGTTTCCTCTCCCTTTTCCCACACTTGTTCCTCTTCCAGGAGCCGCTGTCTGAGCCATGTCTCAAAAAAAAAAAAAAAAAGTGGGGGCTGGGAGAGGGAGGAGTGAGGTAGGGAAACGCACACCCAAGCCAATTTCCAGAAAGAGGAAAAAAAAATCCGGATTGTCTCTGGACCCGTCGGAGCCGAGGAGCTGGCGCCCCGGGGAGGTCCGGAGTGTCTGCGGGAACGAGAGGAGCAAGCAATGAAAAGATGAGCAGGAGACAGGAGTTTCACCAACTGCACCCTCGCCTCCCCCACCTTCTTCCGTCCTCCCCCTCCCCTTCTTGAGCCCTTCCCTCGCTTCCTCCCTCCCCTCTCCAGGCACGAGCTCGCCAGTAATTGCCTGACAGGAGACAGGGAGGAACAAGTTTCTCATACTATGCTTTCCCTGTCCGTCCGTTTGTCTGTCTCTCTCGGAGTCCCTATAGTGATCTCCACGAGAAGGAAGGCGTTGTGGATCTGCGCGGAGGGCGTGTGTGTGTGTGTGTGTGTGTGTGTGTGTGTGTGTGTCTGTGTGCGCGCGCGCGCACGAGAATAGGGGTCAGTGTTAATGGCAGCATAGGGCTAGCCTACCGCGGTGTGCCTAGCTTCTGCACCCCGGAGTGAGAGACTGGGAGGCTGCAGGGCAGCGAGGTTCCCGCTGCCGAGAAGCGATGTGTGCACGGGAGGTGGCGGTGGCTTCTTGCAACTCCAAATCCCAGTGCTGGATTGGCGCGCGGCTTGTCCGCGCCAAGCCGGGCCAAGGATCCTGGGTGCCAGCCCCTTCTCATTCCCCACCTGGCCAGCCCGGGACCCGTGGCAGGGGGAAGCCAGGCGCCTCTTGGGCACTCCAGGTCAAGGCTGGCAGACCAGACGTGGAAAGCCCAGCTGCAGTGGGAGACGCACCGCAAAGCGCAAAGCCGGGAAGAGGGACAGTAGTGTCAGTGCCACGTACAGCCGAATCAAACAAACCGCGCGAGTGTGCGAGGCCAGGCTGCAGCCGAACAAGGTCTCCTGCTCCAACATCAGAGCCTGCGGCTACTTAGTTGCCAGAGCGCCAGGGTGCCCACAGTGTGCCGTAGGGCTCCATTGTTCCCCAAGATTTGGAGACTTCTCCTTAGGGGTAGAAACCACGTCCACAGGGTGCGATATGAAACGCCTTCCAGCTAGGGGGCAGCCGCTTTCCAACTCTGCCCATCCCCCGCGTCCCCGAGCCAAGGTGCTGGGTGATTTGGAAATTAGGGATCCAGTGGCCCCCGCTTCTCTGCATCCCGGGGGAGGAAGAAGAGAGAACGAAAGAGGTGGAAAAGGGGACTTGGTAGGGGCCTCGAAGTGCTGGCTCCCGGCAACAGGTAATTGTGCACGCCAATCCTATTAGCTTTCTGCCCACCCCCACCTCCGCAGGGAGACGCGTCCTCGCTGTCGCTGGATGCTCCCCAGTTCCATCTCCCAAGGGCTTCCAGAGAACTGCTGTTGAATTGCGTCTTCGGATATGAATAGCAAGGACATTTCAGAGAAACAGATTTCAGTCACGGATCCAGCCATTTACCGGGTCAGTGCCCGCGGACTACCCCCTCAGGAGTTCGTGGGCAAGGTGAAAAATCACTCTCGCATCTGGGAATTGGCGTTTATTTACGCACCTCCAAATCAGAGCCTTATTTCTACCTGGCACAAAGAGCTGGCAAAAGAGATTTCGGAACGTTGGCAAGGAGACTCTGGTCAAAGGTTTTGGCAAAAGAACTAGAGGAGGCCAGAGAGAGAGGCAGCCCTAAGGGTGCCGGTCCGAGGCAAGGGTTTCACAGTCGGGGATTGGGGCTGGGCGAGGTGACGCGCGCCCTTCAGGGTGCAGGCGGGCACCGTGCCCACGCTGAGGCGCAGCCCCTGGCGCCTGCATTCATTGGTCACGCCAAGTCCTTGCCACTTTTCTCTCTTCAAGCCTTTCCTCTCACCCTATAGGCGTCCGTGAAGCGCCAACCACTAATCTTGAAACAGAGCCCCGCTCCGCAAACCAACTCTGTCTCCAGAGGGCCTCCTTTCTCTTTCTAGTTTCCACTTTTTCGGGTCGCTGACCCCTGGGCGCTTAAGGAGGTATGGTGTGGGGAAATGACACTGGAGTCAAAAGCTAGGGTCGAGCGGTAGGGGGCTGTGCCAGGGCGCGTGAGCAGCTAGCTCTGCGCCTCAAGCCAGGCAGTGGCGGGAGGGAGGAGGCGAGAGGGAAAGCCGCGCCCAGCTCAGAGCCCTCGGGAGCGAGAGCGCTCTGCAGAAGAAGCCCGGGTGCTTGGCTACGACTTCTGCTCGTCGCCCGCCTCCCCGCCTTCCTCTCTTTACTGGATTTAGCCCCGCCAGTCTTAGTCCCTAGCTGCGCGGGGTCAGCATCATCATCAGATTTGGGGGAACCCCGAGACACTTTAGTCCAGGGCTCAGAGCGGCAGCTCTTGGGACCTGGCTTGTTGACAGAGAAAGGGAACCAGCGTCCGGGGGATCCTAGAGTCACCTTCTTCCTATTGGCACTCCGGCTGCGAAACTCGCTCCAGGGACCCCGTTCTGACCCATCTGAGCTTCGGCAGGGGTGAGCTAGGGGGCACACGCGGGAGACTTAAGCTGTGTTGTTTTTAGAAAACTGCCTCCAATTCTCTTCCCCTTTCCCTGCTGAGTGTGCATTTCCCAGCTTGGACTCGCAAGGGCAACAAATAAAGCCACCGGACCGTGCACTTAGGGAGGGACTGTCCCACACCCGCACCTCTGGGCTCTGTCGGCAGTGGCTCCTCGGCTCCCACACGCCTCCCCTGGGGGGAAGGGCTCCTGCAGCCTGTCAACGTTCGCTCAGAGAAGGGCAGTCTCCTTTCTTGCTCACCAGATGAGCACTTTTGCCAGCCTTTCTCCAGTCACCTAATAAGGCATGCAATACATACTCTGGGGGAAATATATTTAAGTTCTGCAACTGATTATCTTGGTCTTAGCTGATTTGAGGCTTTTCTAGACTCCTTAGTTTCCACATACAGTACGGGATAATAGAACCCTACTACACAGATTGATAATTGCCGGTTAGTGGGTTAGTGCAGAGCAAATTGTCTCTGTTAACAACCTCTTTCCTCTGCTTTTGTATTCTACTAAGTGCTGAAAAGGGTCAGTTTTAGATTTCCATAATTCCCCAGCAAGCGAGACAGATCAACGTTTATATAAGAATAAGTGATAGACAGAGGAAGAATTTGGCAGTGTTCCTGGGTTTTTATTTTGGTCTCATGAACACATCACTCTTTCCCCACATCACAAATCCCAAGACTAGATGGAACTCACTTCCACCAAAGGGAGGATTCATTGACTGCACACCCAGAATGTCATACTGAAGTGCCGTGCCAGCAATATTTGGTCCCATTGACTTGCACTCAGGGGCTACTCCAGGAATAAGGCCCTGTCTTGGATCTCCCAGAGCCAAGCTGGAACCATGGCCCACCATTAAGAACAGACTGGGTGGTAAATGGTTCCTTTCTTTCATCAAGCTCTCATCAACTTGTCAGAAATAAGGTGAGACCCGTTGCACCCAGAAGACCCTTTGAGCCACTAACTTCTTCATGGTAATACAGGTTGATGAGTACGGAGATTCGGTTTGGTATCTCAAAATTGTATCGAGTCTGTCTTAGTCAAGTTTTTACAAATATCAGAACCACACATCAGAAATGCAATAAAACAATGTATTTTTAGTAGACTCTAAACTACATTTGAAGAAGTGAAACTGGAAAATGATTAAAAACTGGAATTTAAGTTAATCTAAAAACTAAAAAATAATTCTGGTAAAAATGGCACTTATGTCACATGTCTCTATCATAAAGATGTCATTTAGACCTCATGTACAGCTATCTCCTTAGTTTGTATTGGCAGAGAAAGGAAGGAACTAAACAATGAATCTTTACTTTATGTTACTTTATTTTTGGCCTTTAAAAGTTATCTTGAAAGCTCTTCAAGTGTTAGAGAAAAGACAATCATCTAAAATTTTATGATGAAGCTATTGTTGTTGTTGTTTGGTGCCATGGAGTTGGCTCCAACACATAGCAACCCCATGTACAACAGAAAGAAACACCGCCCTGCCCTGCACCAGCCTCACAACGCAAACAACAACAATGCAATGTGCTGCCCTTGAGTCAGATCTGACTCATAGTGACGCCCTTTTGGGTTTCTGACGCAATATCTCTATGGAAGTAGATTGGCCAACCTTCCTTCTGAGGAGTGGCTAGTAGATTTGAACCACCAGCCTTCTGGTTAGTAGTCAAATGCCTTAGGCACTATGCCACCAGAGCTCTTAATCCTTGCTATACCTGAGCCCATCATTGCAGCCACTGTGTCAATCCTTCTTGTAAAGGGCCTTGCCCTTTTTTGCTGATCCTACACTTTACAAGCATGATATCCTTCTCCAGGAAATGGTCCCTTCTGACAACATGACCAAAGTAAGTGAGATGAAGCTTTTAAATAAAAATAAATAAAAAGTAAGTGAGATGAAACTATAACACAAAGTATTTGTAATAACAGTATATACAATAGTAAAATGCAGAAAGAAATGCCTTTTTTTTTCCCAAAAAAATCATGTTAATGGATTTAAGACATTTGGTTGGTGGTAGAAATTAAGTTAGAATTTGAACACTCATATTTGTTGCAAAGAATCTCAAAGTATTCAGTCTTAATTGAATTGCTTTTTAATTAGAAAAATTAAAATCATAGTAATCAATAAAACACTCACCAAACCATTA